CGGGCTGGAGGCGGGGCCTGAGAGGGAAGGGGAACCTGGCGCCGCGCTCTGGGGGCGGAGACCGGGTTAACGCGACCGGAACGCCCTGGGGGCGGAGCCTGGCCCTGGAAGACTGCGGGGAGGGGCTGAGACCGGCGGTGGGGGACCATGGGCCTTCTCGCTACCTCTAGGTTTAAAATGACTCCTATAGCGAGGGCCGACTTACACAGATTAGTATTGGAGCCTGGCTTGGAGGAGATGGGACTTGTTATGTCCGAGTACAGGAGAGTCCAGGAAAGCCCCAGGAGCTTTGGTTTCCCCTCATCAACTTGCACACACCCGTAGAGGCTGGTAACACACTCTCTGCAGAACTACTCTCATCGGAGCCTTCTGTGCCGGGAAGAGGGGACCTGGTTCCTGGCTGGAATCAGAAACTTCCCCAGCGACTGCATACGTCCCAGAGTCTTCTACCCTCTGCAGACCCATGGCCCGTGGATCAGCCATGTGACTCGGGGAGCCTACCTGGAGGACCAGCTGGCCTGGGACTGGGGCTCTGAGGGGGAGGAGACCGAGACACACATTTGTCCCCCGCACACAGAGCATGGTGGTGAGGAGGGGTACTTAGGGGCTCCTGGGGATGCTTAGATCTAGGTTAGAGGCTTTGGGGGTCAGCTTTGGGGCCCCCACTGAGGGGTCACCTCCTCTCCCTAGCTTGTGGCCTGCAACCAGAGCCTGCTCTGGTGGGGATCCTGTGGCCCTGGCTGGCAGAGGTGCATGTAGCTGGAGAGCGTGTCTGCACTGGAATCCTCGTGGCTCCAGGATGGGTCCTGGCAGCCACTCACTGTGTCCTCAGGTGGGTCTCACCCATCTCCCTAAGGGCCAGAGGAACGAATTGGGAGATGGACCAAAGAACTCTTATGACAGTGGGATGTTCTCCCTTTAGGGTTCTTATAGCACAGGGAAACTGGTACGAAGTGTTTTGAGACAGAAGAGAGATATGGAAGGAGGAAGAATGAAGGAATTAGTAGAATGACCCTGGAGATTCATTCCACCCTTTCCCCTGGACTGGGAAGGACTTAATCAGCAAGGGGGGAACATGAAGTGACATTGGACCTTGTTCCAACAGGCCAGGCTCTACAACAGTGCCTTATATAGAAGTGTACCTGGGCCGGGCGGGGGCCAGCCCCCTCCCACAGAGCCATCAGGTATCCCGGTCAGTCATCAGCATCCGCCTGCCTCGGCACCTGGGACTTCGGCCCCCGCTGGCCCTCCTAGAGCTGAACTCCCGGGTGGAGCCCTCCCCATCAGCCTTGTCCATCTGCCTTCACCCAGGGGGTATCCCCCTGGGGTCCAGCTGCTGGGTGCTGGGCTGGAAGGACCCCCAGGACCGAGGTGAGAGCCCTGAGTCCTGGGGGTAAGAAGCAGATGGATGCCAGCATCCCCAGGACAATCTTCTTTCCTCTTTCTAGTCCCTGTGGCTGCTTCTGTCTCCATCTTGACACCGCGACTCTGTCACTGCCTCTATCAGGGCAATATGTCCCCTGGAACTTTCTGTGTTCTGTATGCAGAGGGGCAGGAGGACAGGTGTGAGGTACGGGGGTGGTGGGGGGCTATGTATCCTGGGCCAGGGAGGGGAGAGGCAGTGCTAGGCAGCTGGACCCCAGAGAGAGAGCAGGGTTGGAATTCTTGGGCGCTGGGCCCCGAATGAGAAGAAAGCTGGATTTTGAGAGAGACTAGGGATCAAGTTGCCTGAGGATGGCAATAAGCAGTGCTTTGTGGCTGGACCCTAGAAAGATGCAGGGGACCAGGGGAAGGGTAAGAGGGTAAGAGACCCTTTTTGGCCTTGGCTCTGACACTGCAGGTGACCTCAGCACCTTCGCTTCTGTGCCAGACTGAGGGAGGCTCCTGGGTCCTTGTGGGCATGGCTATTCGAGGGAGCCAGGAGCTCTTTGCCGCCATTGGCCCTGAAGAGACCTGGATCTCCCAGACAGTGGGGGAGGCCCATTTCCTGCCCCCCAGTGGCTTCCCCCTCTGGCCCCCTGAAAGCAGTGACCTCTGCCCCCCAGACATGGCTGGGGCCTCAGGCTCCCCTCAGGCTGCTATTTTCCTGCTGCTTCTGACCCTCCTGATCCAGGGCTGAGGGGGCCTGGGTCCCTGGGCCACCTTACCTTCGTCATCACCTTCCCCTCTCTTCCCCTACCTCCTCCAGCTTTCCACCACTTCCCGCCCAGTGGGGCTGGAATGTGGCCCAACTGGCTCTGTTCTCTTACCCGGAACCTCCAAGGCGCCCCACCCACCTAGACTGCAGTGGCTCTGGTAATCAGGCCTCAGAGCCCAGCTATTTTGGGCCCTGGCATCCTTGGCAGTGGGAGGCAGCAGACAATAAAGGTGTAAACACAGACATGTGGCCTTGTGGCATCGCTGGGGGCAGGCTGAGGGGCCAGGGGAAAGCCCCAGGGATCGGCCCCTCCCTCCTGGGCCTCCGTGAGTCAGGCCTTGGGCTCCCAGGAAATTTGTCCCTGATAACGTGGCAGCTGTCCCTCATTCCTGCCCCAGGGCGGGGAGGTTGGGCAGACAGCTGGTTCTGTGTCACCCCCTCCTCAGTGGAATCAGCATCCCCAGCACCTGCTGGTCACCTCGGCCCTGCTGCCCCTCCCCCTAGAGCAAGGAAGACTGAGGGTCAAGGTCAGAGGAAGGGTCCAGGAGTCTGGGGGCCTAGCGTCTGTCTACTGTATCCTATACCCACAGGGAGCCACTGCCATTTACATACCCTATAGATGGTGCTCTAAAGTGTATACCTCCAGTGTCCAGTACACACACGACATTTGTACCCTTTAAGTGTCCACCACATCCTGCCCAGTGCCCCCAGGGTTTGGGCCCCATCAAAAGTCCCTTGTATGTATCTGCTACTACCTCACTCACCACCACTTACTAGAGCACCTCCCTGCATTAATTCAACCACATTCCCTGTTAACTGCTAAGTCATGGCACAGCAGGGGCTTTCACAAGCCTGCAAAATGTTCCCAATATAGTAAGGAACACGTGGGCACCCCTGGCTGGTGGTCAGGAAAAAGTCATAGAGGAGGTGATATCTGAGCATAGAATAAGGGTAGTGGGGACCCATCTGGGGCAGGAGGGGCGTGTGGGGTAGAAACCAGCTGGTGAGGGTGGCAGAGGGGTCTCCTCTGGGGCTGGAGTCACCATTTCCGGGTTGAGTAGGCAGAAGGTTGGGGAGGAGAGACTTCAGGGAAGCTGGAAGTTCTTGGGAGAGTGAGAAGGACAGAGGTTCTTAAATGACCAGGCTTATCTTTAGCTGCCAGATTCCAAAGAGAATTCCCCTGTATCTCTCACCACAGGGACACACACCCCTAACCTGCTCCCCATCCCTGGTCAGTCATTCATATACCACAGACATTTAATATACCCCATCATCTACACAAGTCCTCTCACAATGTCCAGGGTCCTTCCCCCTGCTCCCCAGCTTAGACCCCTTCCAGAATCAGCCTTGTCCCCTTTCCCACTCCAGGAATTCCCTGCCCTCCAGCCCAGGCTCTGAAGTCCTGGCTTAGAAGGCCACACACCTAGTCTTATGGAAGGTAGGTAGGGAAGTGGGGCTCTTTTTCTAAAGCTTGAAGCCAACATGCATTCTCAATTGCCCCAGATTCATACACTCACAGAGGATGCACTTGACCCCCAACCCAGGCACATGGGCCTCCTTTCCCTGAACCCGTGCCACCTGCATCCTCCACCTGAGGGCAATTCACCTGGACCACCCTTACCCATCTTTGCCTTATTCTAAATGCACCTCCTTGAGGAGCCCTTTTTTTTTTTTTTTTAATGGAGGTACTGGAAATTGAACCCAAGACTTCGTGCATGCTAAGCACCCACTCTACTACTGAGCTATTATAGCTAACCGTCTACCCCAGGAGACCTTCTTGATGCCAGCCGAGGTCAAGCTCTTGTAAGTGGCTTCTAGAGCCCCCATTCTTCCTCCACCACAGTTCCCAGCTTGAAATTATTCTGTAATTGCTGATGTGATTAGATGATTCAAGTCCGTCACCCCTACTTCACTATGAGCTCAGGAAAGGCAAGGAGGGTGTCTGCTCGGTCTCCTCTGCCCCAGAACATACTAGGCGCTCAGTAAATATTTGTGGAATGATTAGCACTGCCAAACATTCTCACACTTCACCACATGCAGATGAGGCTGCAGGCTCTACAGAAGGGCCTAAAAGGGCCCTAGCCCGGAGGCAGACCCAGGTGTCCTGGGCTCAAATGCCAGGCCTCTGGAGGGAAGGAGGGAGGAGCAGCTGTGGCCCCACAATAACAAAGTCTGGGCCAGGCGCTGGGGGGCATAACTGGTCCGGGAGACCAGAAAGACAGGACCCAAAAGCAGTTGGGTTGGGAGTCCAGCCATCAGAGTTTCCAGCCCTGCCTGAGGCTGCTCAAACCCCAACACACGCAGACGCACACCAGCACACACAGTCGAGGTGTCTGGAAGGACTCCGGACTTCAGTGGCGGCAAAAGAAGCCAGCCAAGCTGAGCGAGGAGGGCGGGGCCAGGGGAGGGGCGGGCAGGTAGGTGCCCTTTCCAAGGGAGCTGCCACTCCGGAAGGTGTACTGCAGACCCAGGACGTGCTGGAGACGTGTCCTCACTGCCGGCGGCGGAGACCCCAGCGTTTCCCTTGGTGTCCCGTTCCTGCGTCCGAAGCCAGCCTTTGACGCCTGCTCCCTCTTCCCTCTGGTCCCGACACCTGGATCTTCCCTTCCAACCCCACCCTAGGTCCCTTCCCTTGGGTGCCTGGTCCCTTCCCAGGGCCCCTGGTCCCTGGGCCATGGCCCAGAGGGTGCGCCTGGGGCTTAGGTGGCCGGAGGCTGTGGCCACTGCGCTTTTGCTTGGATTAGTCCAGAATGGGATGGGTGAGTATGTGCCGGTGGGGAGCGCGGGGTATGGGGAGGGGCTGGGTAGTGCACTGGGGCCGAGGGTCTATCCCTTTTCTGGGGCATATCCCTTATCCTGGGTTCAGGAACCCCTAGCTTTAGCCTCCCTAGTTCCTGGCCTCTCCCCTCAGCTTTGGCCTCCTGGGCAGCCCTCCAGAGAAACGGCAGGTGCTTAGAGGTCTGGGAACTTGAGACTTCCCTCCTCACCCTCCCTTTTTCTCTTTCCCTCCAGGAGCTGAAGGGTCCGAAGGTGAGGCTGCTGGGGGAGATGGGGGGAGGGGAAGGGGCGGGGCCGCAGACCCAGATTCCCCTGGAGCGTTTGAGTGCCTGACCCTCTCTCTGCAAAGCTGTCTCGCCCACTCCTGTTGTCTTATCACGTTGATCGCCCACTGTGGATCAGGTGCCCCTGAGGAAACACAGCTGTCACCTAGATTTGGGTAATGTGGTGATCAACATGATTAGGTCTCCTGAGATCTCTGTGAGGCAGTGATCATAGCCCTCAATCTATGGATAAAGAAACGGGCAGAGAAGTGATTTGCCCAAGGGCACGCCACCAGTAAGTGACAGAGCTGGGGTTTAAATCCTGGTCTGACTCCAAAGGTGGCTTGTTTTGAGGGAAACAGACCAAGGGTCTCCTTGTTACACTGCCCCACTGCCAGTCAGGTTTGTAATCCTAGCTTCACCATGCATCTCGGTGCCCGAACCCTCACCTCTAAAATGAAGTTGATTCTATCTCCTGGGGCTGTCCAAGGAGTCAGCAAGATAAAGGAAGTGAAAGCCCCTTCAGGGCCTGGCATTGCTAGAACTATTGGTCCCTAAATGGTAGCTATTGTTCCTTTTATGAGGAAAGGAGGAGGAGCCTGGCTGGGCGGTTTTCCCTGCTTCTGGGAAGGTGACTTTTTGAAGGTCATTTGGGTCCTGCTCCAAACAGCGGCCTTAGCAGGGGTGGGGCTGTCCTGGAAACAAGACGTTCACACCCTGAGAGCCCAGCTATTCTGTTCATTTGTTCAACACACATCCGTGACTCCATCTGTGTGCCCAGCCCTGTGCTGTGCGCTGGGGACACGAGGATCTGCCCTAGTCCCTGCCCCTAGGGAATGCCCAGGTAGGTATGGTTGAAGCACAGTCATAACTAGAAACAACCGTGTCTGAGAAGCAGGGGCCCTAGGACCAGAGCTCCAAGGCATCACATAACTCAGCCAGCAGGGTCAGGCAGGCTGCAGAGAGGCTGATGTCTGAACCATCTCTGTAGGCAAACAGAAGTTTGCTGAGCAAAGTAGGAGTGAGGAAAGTTTCTAGGCAGAGTGATCTGAATAAAGGTCTGGAGATGAACAAGTGTGTGGCCCAATGTGATAGCAAGTGTTCAGAGGGATGGCTGGAGTAGACAGCACTGCCATAGAAGGGCTGGAATCTCCTTCAAGGGCAGTGCAGAGCAAGGGGAGGATTTAAGCAGCGGTATGACCTGGCCAGGTTTGTGGTTCATAAAGATCTTCAGACTTGTAAGGAATGGATCAGATGGAAGGCGGGAAGGCCTGAGAGGAGAGAAGCTGGATGTGATCTTAGTTAGGTCCTGGGTCGAGGAGAGCAAGGGGGCAGAACTGACCATGACTGGTGAGCCGTGGGATGGGGACAAAGGGCAGCCGACTTCTATGAACTCACTTCCCCAGCTCCAAACCAGACCTCCTGGGCTGTGTTGGGAGTGGCAGGGCTAAGGACGCGGTTTGTGGGCCCCAGAGGGCCTGACCCCCTCCCCTTCCTCCCCGGCAGCTTCCTGCGGCGTGGCCGTCCAAGCACGTGTCGCAGGTGGTAGCAATGCAAGCCCTGGCCAGTGGCCCTGGCAGGTCAGCATCAACCACGACGGCATCCATGTGTGTGGCGGTTCTCTCGTGTCTGAGCAGTGGGTGCTGTCGGCCGCTCACTGCTTCCCAAGGTATGAGCTGGGGTAGGGGGCAGGGTGGGGAAGTCAAAAGTGGGCTGGAGGTGAAAGTCCAGGGGGTCACTCTAGGTCAGAGGTTAGGGTTCTTGGGTTGACTCGAGGACTATTAATAAAATCTGGAAGGATCTGTCGGGAGGGAAGGCCAGAGGTCACAGGTCACAGGATAAAACTAGGATGCAGTGGGGGACCTGTAAGGTCAGAATCTGAGGTTGGGTGCCACAAGCAACAGGGACCAGGGAACCGGGACAGGTCTCTCGGGTCCCAGCCTTCGCCCCTCTGCCTGCAGGGATTACCACAAAGACCACTACGAGGTAAAGCTGGGGGCCCACGAGCTGGACTACTACAACTCTCAGGCAGAGGTCCGCACCGTGGCGCAGGTCATTTCCCACCCCAGCTACCTCCAGGAGGGCTCCGAGGGTGACATCGCGCTCCTCCAGCTCAGCAGCCCCGTCACCTTCTCCCGCTACATCCGGCCCATCTGCCTCCCCGCTGCCAACGCCTCCTTCCCCAATGGGCTCCAGTGCACTGTCACTGGATGGGGCCACGTGGCCCCCTCAGGTGAGGTGGGCGCTGAGGTCTAGAGGGGAGCCACCTCAGGGCAGGAGGCCCTGGGTAAGCATCTTTTGCCTCGACAGTGAGCCTCCAGGCCCCCAGGCCACTGCAGAAACTTGAGGTGCCGTTGATCAGTCGTGAGACCTGTAACTGCCTTTACAACATCGACGCCAAGCCCAACGAGCCCCACGTTATCCAGCAGGACATGGTGTGTGCTGGCTACGTGAACGGGGGCAAGGATGCCTGCCAGGTAATTGCAAGGGGTCCAGGGGAACAGACAAGACGTGTGTCTTGGGAGGTGAGGGCTGGATGGCGCTGACTTGGATAACTGGAGGGCTGGGACCTAGTCCTGACAGCTTTGGTGTGGCTTTTCTCCTCAGGGTGACTCTGGGGGCCCACTCTCCTGCCCTGTGGAGGGCCTCTGGTACCTGGCAGGCATTGTAAGCTGGGGTGATGCCTGTGGGGCCCCCAACAGGCCTGGTGTGTACACTTTGACCTCCAGCTACGCCTCCTGGATTCACCACCAAGTGGCAGAGCTCCAGCCTCAAGTGGTGCCCCAAATCCAGGAATCCGAGCCTGATGGCGACCTCTGCAGCAACTACGGGGCCTTAAACTCTGCTCCAGCCCAGGGCTGGGGGTGGTCCATTCTGCTGCCACTAGGTCTGACCCTGGGCCTCCTCCGCCCATGGCACGAGCACTAAGCTACTCACTCTGGGAGCCGAGCTGCTTCTGGGACCTCCACATCACACCTGAGGACAAACGCCTGGCCCCAGGATGGCCCTGGCCCTGGGACCTGATGGGCCGCTCCTTCCTCCCAGGACCCTGTGGCAGCTCAGAGCACCACCCTGACCTCTGACCCACTCTTCTGAGTTGTTCTTTGGGACTATAACCTCCACCACAGGAGTTTCCTGCCTGTGGTACTGGCGAGGACCTCTGGCCACCTCCATCTGTCCACAAGCCTACTGGTTGGGCTCCTATGGAGCCCCAAGGACCCTAAGCTATGAAAACAGGCCCTGGCTGCCCACCTGTTTCTAGAAGACTGCCCAGGTGACTGCTGCTGAAGGGCTGGCTCCAGCATGTCCTGTTCTGCCTGATCAGCCCCATCACTGCACCCTCATACTGCCTTCTGGGCTGGGGCTGCCTCCGGGCAGCATGTTTTCAAGGACAGAAAAGGCCCTAGTCTTGCCCCATTGGCTGCCCTGCCCCCCTTGAGCCCTAACTCCTTGACTCCGGAGGACTGAGCCCCCGCCGGAACTGGGCTCTGACTCGCATCTGAGGTTGGGGGCTAGATGAAGCAGGAAGGAGTAAAATGTTCTGAGAATAAAACAGCTATGTGTGTATGACATGAAATGAAGGACATCGGTTCCAGGCCTACCTCCTACCTCCAAAGTCCACAGCCACCAGCAGAACTTACTTTATTAAAAAAAAATGATGAAACCGGTCTGTACATATTTACAGGCTAAGGGGCAAGGAGGCACAGGTCCAGCAGCGGGGGCACAGGCCGCTCACTTCTTGGAGAGTTTGACTTGCTTGTGCTTGGGGGGTGCCCACTTGAGGCAGACAGAGTCCACTGCGGGGAGAAGAGGCGTGAGAGGAGGACTGGGCCCCCGGGCCCGGCCCGCTCACACTGGCTGCTCTGCCCTGGGCCCAGGCCAGGTTTCACCCCGAGGTGAGAACAAGGGCAGACTGAGTCCTGGCGGGGGCGGGGCAGGGAAGCCCAAGAATGAGTGGCCTGCCCCAGGCTTCGGTCCTGGGAGCTGGTCAGACTGGTTTGGGATCAGGTGACAGCAAAAAGGAGGCCTTGGCTCCCAGCAGTCCTCACACCTACCCCCACCCCTACACACACACCCTGGGCAGCCCCCCACCCACCTGTTATGGGTGGCTTCTTATACTGGGCACTTTTGAGGTGTTCCTCCACCAACTTGGGTGTGACACAGATCACATGCTGACCCTTCCAATACTTGACCATGTTGAGGGACTGCAGGGTGCTGATGATGTCATTCTGGGTGATGCTCGTCATCTGGCTGCAGGAAGGGAGTAGAGCAGATGCTGTAGGGGGTTCTCTTGTGGGGTTTAGCTGGGACACCAAAAGGGGGCAAGGAGATGGGATCATGGCCAATCTGAGGAGAGTCCTTGCCTCCTTGAGGGTCCAGGATGCCTCTCTCACCTAAGGTCCTTGATGGACAGTGTGCCCCGGAAGTCTCGCAGGATCTCCAGCAGGACCCAGGACCAGTAGCTGCGGTAGCTGAGCTTGCCCAGGTCGGACAGCGGCTTCTCAGGGGAACCTACAGTGCTCTCCAGCTTGGACAGCTCGTAGCCTGGTGGCAGTGGAGATGAGGACCCTCAGGACTCAGCCCCACCCTGGCACCCCTCACCACAGCCACCCTTCCTGGACAAGCCAGGAACCACTCACTGAAAGCAATGAGGAACTTCCCATAGCCACGGCGCTGGTAGGGGGGCAGGGTCAGGATGCAGGCTACGTTGTTTCCATCTGGAGACTCCTTCTCCTGCAGGGGTGCATGCTCAGGGCCTCTGGGGAGGTTCAGCCCCCACGCAGTCCTCCCTCCCTCTCTCAACCTGGGCTTCCCAACCTAGTACCTTTGAGAAGTAGCCAACGATGTGGGCCCCCTGCCTGTCCACCTCAGTTAAGATGTAAAAGACAAAGGGCTCCACGTCAAAGTACAACGTCTTGTGGTCCAGGAAAAGCTTGGCCAGCAGACACAGGTTCTGACAGTAAATCTGAGGGGTTGGGGAGAAGGAAGCAGGCTCAGGGAGCAGGTACAACTCTCCCACTCAGCCCCATTGAGGCCTGGGCAGGAGCTGCCACCCTGCCCTGCAAAGTGCCAAGCTCCAGAGAGCAGCTGGTGCCAGGCCAGTGAGAAGTGGGCTCCTCACCAGAACTGTCATGTTTAGAATTGGAAGGAGCCTTAGCATGATTTTGGATCAACTTGGTATCTGACTTCTGATTGTTCATAGCTGTGTCTCCAGCACCCAGCACAAGGTTAATCATGCAGCTGGGGGCTTGGTACGTTTGCTGAACTGATGACCCTTGAGCCTGACTGAGGTCTGTGCTGTTGGCCCACTTGGCTCCACCAGGCCAGAGACCGACGTCAGAAGACCTTGAGGTTGTCTCCATGGCACAGACTAAGGACACCTTTCCCATCCACTCTCATTTGACCCAACAATTGTGTGAGCCCAGCATTGCTAGACTCAGTTAGCTTACGAGGAAATTCAGGTTCTGGGCTGGGAAGTGCTTGCCTGAGGCCTCAAAACTGGAGAGGGTATAGCTGGAAAGAACACCCACATCTCCTGGTGGAGCCCTTTCTGCCACTCCCCCCCACCCCTGTTCACGCTCAGGAAGACAGAGCAGGAGGCTCGGGCCGGGCTAAGAATGGATATTCCTCAAGCTATCTATCACAACGCTGGCTGCGTGCCAAGAGGTCACCAATAATAACAAAGGCACATGTTGGCGAAGCCCCTATGGCATGTCAGGCGCTGTGCTAAGTACTTGACTGTGCTATCTCATTTATTCCACTGACCAGCCAAGGAGATAAATATTACCATGACTTCTGTCTTATAGATGAGGAAACAGGAACAAAAACCTTAAGTAACTTATCCAAGGTCAGCCAGGAAATGACGAGGGCGATTTGAAGCCAGGAGCCACTCAGAAGCTTGCCCTCTTTGTCTCACACTCAGCTGCCCTTCCAGGGGAAACTGGGACACTTGGGGAGACCTTCTGAGACTGACTAGGCAAAGGCCAAGTTCTCAATTACAGCAAAGTAGGCCCCAAAGGCCCCACCCTGCCCCACTGAAGTGTCTCTCCAGGAACAAGGAACTTGGCTGTCTGAGCCACTGAGCTCTCAGGCAGGAAATCTCACACAAAGCAATTCCCTCCCAGGAAAAACAAACACCTTTTCTTTAGGCAGAAAGAGAAAGTGCTTTTAAGAGCAGCCTTAGGCAAGACAATCTCCACTCTGGGTTCCAGATCTGCCCAAACTAAGCTACCCCATCAGAAGAAAGGTCCCCGAGGACAGAAGGGAAACCCTGTGCCCAAGGCTGGCACCACAGGGCCACGTGTTTATTGCACACCTGACCACAGGCTGAGTGCCAGGCCAAGTACATGCCCACAGCCCTCTTCTCATGCTAAGGCTGGCCTCTACCCTTTGGCGACAGTGAGGTGGTCAGGAAGTGCCCAGTGCATCCCCTCCACCTCCCACAGCGCCTCCGCCGTGTGGCTCACCTTGTGGTCTTTGCCATCCACCTCGTACACAGAGATGTTGCTCTTGCGATAGATCTCCTTCCCTGGGGGCTGCCGCCACTGGCACTGGCCCTGGGGTGGAGATGCAGAGACACAGGCATAAGGCCCGGAGGTTCCCCGCGGGGGGCCCATGCCACCCTGTGTGTCTGGAAGCAGGCCTCTGCTTCCCTCTGCTTCCCCATCAGCAGACACGGGGCTCCACCCTTTACCTATGTGGAGTAATCCTCCCAATCCTCCCAGCCTTCTGAGGAGACATCCTATTTCACAGATGGAGCAATTGAAGCACAGAGAGGCTAAGTGTGCTGGCTCGAACAGCACACAGCTAGATGGTTTTAAGTCCAGATCAATGTGATTGTAGAGGACTCTGGAGGGCTGGCATCCATGACAAGGCATTTCCTAAACCACATGCATTGGCCGCAGTCTACCCTTTGGGAAACACCCCACTGCACGGCCCTGGAGGCTCCTGTGTACCAGTGCTTCCCTCCGTCCACACCCTGTGGTCCCACTGCTCGGGGCTGGGCTTCCTTCCTCTTTTGCACAAAGGAACCTGACCCTGGTAAACATGTACTGAAGAGCCAGGGACCCCAGAGGGTCCTCATTCCACAGAAGAGGAAACTGAGGACCAGGACGGGTCAGCAAGTGGGCCAAGGTCACTCCAGCAAAGGCAGAGTCAGGCCTGGAACCCAAGTCTCCCAACCCAGGAGCAGCCTGTCCTGGGACTCAACAGCTCAGGTCTGATTCTCCTCCCCAGTGCCACCGCCTCAGCCAGCCCTCAGCTTTGATGCCCACCCAGCTCACCAGGCCTGGCCCGGCCCGGCCTCACCAAGTGGAAGCGGTAGCTCTTCTCATATTTCATGTACTTGAGGCAGTACTCGCAGAGCCAGAGCTTGGGCTGTTTCCCATAATCTTCGGGGAACGGTGAGAAGTACCAGGCATCAATTTCGTAGTTCCCAATGTGGATCTTGTCCACGTACTTCACCTTAGTGATCTGTGGGTGAGGTGGGAGTGGCAAGCAGTGGGTGGCTCAGTTTGGGCAAGGAAAGCAGCGAGGAGGGGGTGCCCAGTTAGGACCCCTTCCCCTGCTTACCGCCTCGTGTTCCTTCTCCAAGGCTGCTGTTGTGGGGTCCATCTCTGCATAGGTCTGAGCGAGAAAGAGCGGTGGACAGAGGTGAATCAAAGTGGTGGTCAGGCCACCTCTCCCGTCCCACAACCCAGTGCATCCCTCTTGTCTTCCAGACCTTGTCCCCTGAATGACAGTAATCACCATACAAACAGCACACTTGTTTTATGTGGTTTAAAGCTAGCTGGTCCAAGTCCTCTCCCATCTGCCCACCCACCCAGACATCTCTGATGCCCCAGTTTGGACCTTTTGCCAGGTGAATAGGGCCAGGATCAGGAGGCTGGGTTCCAGTCCTTGGATTCAGCTGTACAATGGGATCAATCCAGCTCTGCCAAAGTTGTTGTGAGACAGATGAAATAATGGATCTGGTCTTCTACACCCATTGCAGGAACTGATGTGCCTGGACCCCTTTCCTGCCATGGGACTGCTTCCAGAGGCCCCTCCTACAGGCACATCAGACTCTAGGTGTCCAGAAAGGAACTCGACCATTCCTCCCTGCAAACCTGTTCATCCTCCTGGGTCTCCCATCTCACTGGGAGCATTACCCTCGGTCCAGATGCCCAAGAACAATAAGCCTGATCTCAGGACTCCTCCTCCTTTCTCAGCCTGTCATTCGATTAATCGTCATGTCCTGTCGACTCTACCTCCTTGTCATCTCTGGAATCAGTCCCTCTGCCCCACTCCAAATAGCCACTGCCACCATCTCAGGTCTGGACAGTTGGCCAGGCCTCTGCAAAGTCCCAGCCTCGAGTCTTAGCACCTTCAAATCCACACCACTATCAACACTCCTCTTTCCGGTCTTCATGCCTTTGCACATGCAGTTCCTTCCGCCCTGAATGCCCTTCCCTCTCCTACTGCTGCCAGCAAATGATTACTCAACCTGGCCTGAGCATGAGCCAGGTGAGTGTGTGATGAGGCAGAGCTTTGCAAGCAATCACGTGTAATTGTTTTTACAATGCTCTTTCCTGTCCTTCAAGGCCCAGCACCCTTCCTATCCCCTCCAGAAGCCCTCACTGGATTCTTCCGAAGCAGAATACATCCCTTCCCAAGTCAGGAATGTAGTGGTCAACAACAGTGTCCTCTGATGGCCCCTCCTTCGTCTCCCCTATTTTCCAAGTCCTTGGAAGGCAGGGACTACAAGTCACATTGCACTCACAGGACACCCTGTTCCTACATCAGATGCTGTAGGAGAAACCAAGTCCAGCCTGACAGTGGAAGGCCTATAACCTCTGCCAGAGTAGACGGCAGCCTTGCGCTTAAGTTGAGAAGGGAGAGAGGAGCCAGCATTTTACCCAGAACCCTCTACATGTAGCACTTCACCTGGATGGCCTCATAAAACCTTCTGGGCAACACTGAGATACAGCATTCTTACTTCTATTTTACAGAAACATAAACAGGCAGGGAGAGGTGAGGTCATTTGCCCTTGGGGACTAGCCAGTTGCCATTTATTCCGAGTGCCAAGCACTCACTCCAGAGGCATTACTTAAGTTTAGTCCTCAAAACGAGCCTGAGACAGGAGTGCTCATTATCTGCACAGCACAAAAGAGGACGCTGAGGCACAAAGAGGTGTGGTCACAGAACTGGTACTCAGCACAGCTGGGCCTGGGGCCCTGGTCTGTCCAACTCCAAGCCTAACCCCTGCAAAGATGAGGGAAGGAAGATTTCCCTCCTCACCTGTCTCTTTAAAACACATTTTCCAACTCACAAAACACAATCCTCTTCTGCAAATACGGTAAAGAACTACAAAAACACTACTTTTCTTAAATGCTGCAATTTATTTAGAATTAAACATTAATTTGGTTTTGAACAACTTGGCTAATTGTTAACTCGCTGATTATTCATTCTTTGATTGTATCACCACTGGCCCATTGTCCTCCACCCTGCTGACTGCCAGCTTAGAGGTGTATCTTTGAGACTGAATTTGTCAGTGCAACCTGGTTGGGGAGCTAAGAAAATCTTAGATCTGTGCTGCCCACTAAAGGAGCCACTTGCTATGTGTGGCTACTTAATTTAAGTTCATTTCATTCAAATAAAGTTGCATTCATAGTCGTACAAAACACATTTCAAGTGCTCAACAGCCACATGTGGGTAGTGACTCCTGTACTGGACAGCACAGATACAGAACATTTCCATTGATCACAGGATGTTCAACTGGACAGTGCCTGCCTAAGATGTTAGAGATCTTTCTAATTCAGGGCATTTCAATTTTTTTTTACCACAGCACTGTAAACCAACGGGCATGCTGATACACATACACACACACACATGTATTTATGCGGGAAATAAAAGGTCCTGAAAATACTTACCTTTAATAAACTACAATGCACTCTGATATTTTCTGTCCTATTCTATTTTGTCCATTTTTGAAATTTAAATGGTCACAACCCACTGAACTATTGTGGCAACCTAACAGTTGTGCCCCACAGTTTGCAAACCTTTGCTGCGAAGCCCATGATGTACATTCAGACTAATGAAATCGCAACCTGGTTGAAAATGACTGGGTGCCTTGAGAGCTCCGTGAATCCTGTTCTCATTTGCACAGGTCATTTCACAAATCAAGAAACTGAGGCTCAGAGTGGGAGGAAGGAAACCCACCAGGGGCACGCTGGCTTCATGAAAAGAATCCAAGTTTTGGAAATAAATGGCAGGAGTTTTTCTAAGATGTTTCAAAGTCACAGTTAAGTGCTTGTGCCCCAAGGTAGGATGATCTAGTTGGCAAATTTAATTCCCGACTGGGTTCCTTAAACTATTAATATCTCCCTTATAAACTGGGGATATAGAATGCTTACCGTGTGAAGTTGCTGTGAAACTTCAATGAGATCATGTATTAAAAAACTCAGCCTAATACTGTGACTCACAAGCCAATAAACATCTGCCATTATTATTCTAATTTTGGCTCACCCCTTTACTAGCTGTGTGACGTTGGGCATGTTACTTAACCTCTCTGAGCCTGCTTCCTGCTTTTCTCACAGAGAAACAATGATTCCTGTGGTGTTGAGTTGTCAAGAAGGATCTGTTGAGTTTACACACATACAGTAGTCAGCAAGCTGCTTAGCAAAAGCAAGTGCCCCAAATCACTTTTTCTCTTCCTCCCCTTTAGACTTCAAGTCGATTTATCAATGTGGCACAGCCAATAGGGGGGAAAAAAGGTTATCGGTGCAGGAGGCCCGAGTTTCAGTCCCTGCTGTGCCATTTCCTGGCCACGAGACTGAAGCCAAGCCCCTGTCCTCTCTGAGCCTGTTTTCTTGTCTGTGAAGAATACACGAGAAGAGGTGGTAAAGCCCCCGACATGCTGTAGGAGCTTAAGAAATGGAAGCTGCTGTGGTTCCAGCACTGGGACCCAAGGGAGTTGGCAGAGGCAGTTAAGCCTCCTGGGGCCCTGGGGAAGGGGAGGGGCCCGGACCTTCTGCACATGGTTGATCTCATCGTGCTTGCGCTTCTGGTTGCGAGTGATCTTGCGCTCAGGCTGCTCAGCCAGCTCGCTTAGGTACTTCTCTGAGTTCTTCTGCACGGCATCCTTCACTGTCTTGGTCAGTGCCAGCCGGTTCTTGTCCACCCATTCGTCCAGTCGTCGGTTAACTGTGAGGATGGGCCATGAGGGGGCTGCCCATCCCCCTCCCCTCCTCCCACCCAAACCTGGAGACCCCAAGTCACTCACAGCCCACATAGTGCACATAGAATTCCTCTCGGCCCTCCTGATCATTCACTCGAGACTGGATCACTTCAGCAGAATCTGTGAAGGAAAAAGGCTAGGATCACCAGGAAAGAAGGCAGGGCTGATCCTTCGCACTCAGGAGCAATTTCCCAGATTCCAGGGCCAAATGTAAGCAAACTTCATCTGCCAATACCTGCCAGTCCCTTCAATCACTGCCCGTGAGATGAGCCAGACTGGGGCTGTTATTCTTACTTAGAGATGAGGAAACTAAGGTTTACCCAGGCTCATCTATTTGAAAAGTGTTAACAGCTAATACTTAACTGAGTTTAAGCCTGGTTCCAAATTCAATGCTTGTTTTACTTTACTCCGTCGTTCATTTGTTCAGGGGTCACAAGGGCTAGCTGTGGAATCAGAGAGCCCCACTTCCTAACTGTATCTACCTGAACAAGTTATTCTGGCTTTCTGGGCCTCAGTTTCTTCATCTGTAAAATAAGGATAACAGTGTCCACCTCAAACGGTGAGTTAATGCCTCTAAAGCTTTCAGTATAGCACCTGACAACTAGCAGATCATTTAATAAATGAGTGTGGCAACCATTGCATGTGTGACCCTGTGCTGGGTTGCTGCTGGATACAGAGGATTCAGTGATGGATCATGAGTGATCCTGCCCTCCAGAAGTTCCCACGGTGATGGGGTAAGTAAGACAGACAGACAACAACATAATGGTACATATACTGTGGCTGAGGTATGAAGAAAATGTTGCAGGAACATACAGAAGGGAACAAATCACTTTGCCTGAAGGAAGTCAAGAATGGCATCACAGGGGATATGATGCTAAATGCATGAGCAGGACTAGCCAGCTGAATAAGGAGAGAGAGAAGAAAGGGCATTCCAAGCAGAGGGCATCAGCGATAAAAGGCATATAGTCTTTATAGGGTATAGTGTGATCTGGTCTGGCAATGACCTTTGCTAGGGGTGCTAAAAACCAAAGAAGCCACAAAGATCAATGCCATTCTAAGGAATTTGGGGTTTATGTGAAAATGAGGCAAAGCAACATAGGGAAGGAGAAGCTCATTTTCGTGTTCTAGGAGGTCCTCTCCGCTGGCGACTGTAGGAGACGGACAGAAGGGGAAGTCACAGAGATAAGGGAGACCAGTGAGCAAGCAGTGTTAACAAGAAAAGGGAATCAAGCCTAAGATTGGGCAAGGAAGTGGAATGGGAGCTCTGGATACAACAGGAAGAATTTGGCGAACGCGCGACTGCTGGTGGGGTTTGTAGGCGGAGCGGGAGAGAGCCCTCAACTCCCGGTTCTCCCTACTCTGGCCCCGCCGCCGCCCTTAAACCCCGCCCCCGGGCCCCGCCCTCACGCCAGGTGCTATCCGGCCGCCGGCACAGGTACGTTTCTCCGATCTCCACGGTGACTTCCGGCTCACCACGCGCCGGGGTCGGAGGAGAGACGCGGCCAGGGGACGGAGCGGTCCCCTCGACCGCCACATTCTCCCCGGGCCCAGGCTCGCCCTCCCCCACGACCCCTGAAGTCGCCGCCGCAACCGCCGCAGCTGCTCCTTGCGCCGCCATCGCTGTAATGGAAGTGACGCCAGAATCCGGCGCCGCGCAGTATCTTTAGCTCCGGGTCAGCTATGCGTGGAGGAGTCCGCGGCAGGCTGGAGGGTGCGGTCTGTGACGTGGCAGGAGCTCATTGGCTAGTGCGGCAGTCTCCGCGGCAGAAGACGTTGACTGTGCCAGTTGTCCTGAAGTTGCTCGTTTTCCGTTTTGAATTACGGCTGCACCCTAGAGTTGAAAACAGGAGAAAGGCTTTCTTGATGTGATGCCTCAGCTCGATCTTTTTAAGACCTTTGTGCCTGAGGAAGCCAAGGTGTGCCAGTTATCAGGAGGCGCTGCCCCTGTTTTACCGAGGCGGAGCCAAAGCAGCACCCCTGGAAGCCTAGTATTAGGGCGGTGAGCCTGGAATCAACACCCACCCTGTGCTGACCATTTCCTCCAGCCAAATACAAGTCACCCCGTTTTTGAAGACTGAAGAAACTGCCCTCCTTGTTCAGGGGGGAAAAGGAGACATTTGGGGTGTGGGAATCAGGACTGAGTGTGTACTGGGATAGCCAATAAATCACTCTCACAGAATCAAGCCTTTCTAAAGAAAGGATCAGACTCTCCAAACCAGATGTCCCCTGAACAGAAAACAGCCTAAGGCAGTGGATATAACAGAGAGCGTCTTAGGCTTAGTGAATGAGGAATCCCTGGTTATACAAGTGTGTCCATTCCCAGAGCATCGTTAAAGGTTAAACTGTATATGCCATATAACTATATAAAGGTGAAACCATATATGTATCTATCTTTTATTCCTATAAAACAAGTGTATTGCACAATGCCAGACAGGGGAGGTGTCAATAAACATTCCTTTTAGCCACTCTGAGTCGTCTTTGACTTGTAATTTGGTAATTGGGCTTGGAAACAATTCTAAGAGGGGTGGAATGCTCGAGACCTAAGGATGAGGCTACAGATGAGGAAATACCTAAGTTAAGTATTTGTGGAAAATGGCAGTGCTGGTAACTTGGCTTTGGGGAATAAAGGAGTTGGGAGGGGACAATAAATGCCAGTTGTCTGGCAGCATAGGAAACAAAAAATAAACAGAAGTCAGGCAAGAAAAAATTAAAAACTAAAATTCTACCTTCTCTCACTCTCCACCCACCCCTAGAACTATGATGATTCACCCAGATTCCCCAAAATCTTTTGTTGTTGCTTCTTTGTGTTCATATAACCTTCGATGTGCTTTAAGAAGCCAGCACCAGAGACTTATTTGGTGAAGTGCCCCTGTGGCTAATAGACCTGTTTTGCCTCAAAAGAGCTGGAAACAGAAGTTCTCAGCCCGGAGGTTTTCAGTACCTCCCCAGCCCCACTCAAACACAGACATTAAGCCAATGATTGTCAAGTGGAGGAGTTCATCAGTGACTATGGAGCTTAGCTCTCTCGCCAGGCCTCTTGTCCTTCCCTTTCTTGCTTCCCCTACTCCCTTCTGGGAGCACTTTCTCAACAAATCACCTGGACACAAATCCTCTGCTTAAGGGCAGCTTCTAGGGACTCCAACCTGAAACCTCCCTTCCTAGCTTAAAACCCTTCCATGATCCCTGATGCCTCCATGATAAAACCCATGCTTCTTGGCTGTGCATTTAAGGCCTTTCAGCCTTGCTGCTGCCTACCTCTCCAGCCTCTGTGCTGCAGCCAGCCAGATTTTCAGCCCGGCAAGTCACAACAGTCTCCCACCACCTGGAGTTTGACCTCCAGATATAATCCCGGTCTCCCCTGAATCCTCCACCTCCATCACCAGTCCTACCAAGCAGGTCCTCAGGCCTTCTCCTTCCCTAGCAAGGTGGGCAGGGGGGTTACTTCACCACCTGCTCTCTGGAGCCCTTTCCTTTTGGCCTCCCTGCCAGGGCGCAATCTTGTGTGTTTCTTTCCTTGGCAGTAGCAGGCACAGCTGGCAGGCAGCACTTTTTAACCTTACTCAGCTTCAGGAATCAGGTGGCTCAGAAAGTTGCTCAGTCTGCTGACCTTCACCTCCACAAACTGTGACTACCAGGAAGGGAAGTGTCAGAAGTGCGACCTGAAGCTGGGCCAACCTGGGCCCTTCAATATTGTCCAGGATCCAGAAACACTTGGTAAATGAAATGAATAAAAGGTCTTTGCACAACCTGCCCAAGTCATCCCCACTCCCACCAAATCTAATGTGCAAGAGACTCGGGGCCAATTTTATTCCTGGTCTGACAGGCTCTGAGGACAGTTAGAGACTGGGACATGAACTTGTTAAACCCAAAGGGCCCAGGGTACCTGAATGGGGGGCAGAAACAAAAGCTCACCTGCCTTCCTCACATGTGGGGCCCAAGAGGGCATTCAAAATGTGAACTTTAATAACAAACAGCAGGTCAAGATGGGGGTTCCCCAGGAACAAGAATAATGGAGCTGGTGCTGGAGACCTCAAGGGTTCCCACTTCCTCCCCTCTGAGGTCTGGAGGCAGGGAAGCAGTGGACCCCATTGAGGAGGGTGGTACCTGGCTCCATGTAAGTCCATCTGTTTGGGGCCCTGAGACCCCAGGTGCAGCAGTGTGTGGAGCAGGGTGGTACCCTGCCTGGCCTGGAAGGTCCTGGCAGGATGTATGACCCAGCCCAGGCAAGCAAGCAGGCCAAGGGCTATGGGGTCAGATGCGGAAGCTTTCCTCCCGGCCATCGATGTGACGGAGCCGCAGGTAGACATCTGTGCCAATGCCCTGCAGGGACTGCAGCCGAAGGGAACCACCGAGGTACTCTGCGTAGGCCCGTGATGTGGGCAGCCCGAAGCCAAAGCTGGGGGTGGGCAGGGGGACAGGACACGGGCTTCAGAGGCTTGAGTCTCCTGGGGCCCCCCACCCCTCCACTCTGGCCAGGTGGGGCCTCACCCGTGCATGGGTCCTGACTGGCCGCCACTGTGCATGTCCAAGTGGCCGAAGAGGGGGCTGATCCGGGGGTCCTGGGTGCTGGCCTCAGCTGTAGTGAAGTGGTAGTCCATAACCCGGTCCAGGTCTTTGTGAGCGATTCCCCCGCCCCGGTCTGAAATCCTGGCAGGATGACAATAACAGGCTTGGCTCAGCTTCGGTGGGGCTCACCACCCCTCAAGCAGACAGTGCTAGGTCTACCCTGCTGTTCAAATGTGGTCACCTAGACTCCTGGGCCTTGATATTTGTAAGGTGTTTTTCCATCCTCACCTCTGCCACTGACTAGTTCTAACTTCTTGCAGGACTTGACATTAATTCTCAGCCCAGCATCATAGATTGGTTATTTCTGACACTTTGCCTACTCCAAGCCCCTACATTACTGACAAAGACAAGCCCCCAGGGCCCACAGCTGGCACCAGATTCATTCATGTCCAGCTCATGGCAATCTCAGGACAGCAAAATATCTTGTCTGACCAGAAACTAAATCTCAGAGTGGGGCAGGTACTGGCCTGAGGTCATAGAGCAAGTCAGAAACTGCCTGGAACCCCTGTCTACCCCACCTCAACTCCCAGTCAGGGCAAACCTGATGACGAGATCGATATCATTGTTGGCGATGGTGATGACCACGTCTGGGACGTTGTAGGGAGTGTCTAGGTGACTCTCCATTGTGGCTCTATGCAGGGGGGAAAGACCAGTAGGTGGTGGTACCCCAGTTTCACCCCAGTTCCTGTCTGCCCCCTTCCAACATATCCAGCCAGCCCACCTCATGGCGTTCTTGAGCAGCTCCGGCAGGATGTAGTCCAGTGGCATAGGGATGAAGGGGAATCGGGCAGCCACGTGTCCATTGATGCGGACTCGGGGGGCATTGCCGTACTTGTGTTCACACAGGCGTCTGTGGATAGGAGCAAGGGTTCAGCCCTAAACTAGTGGTTCTCAGCTGGAGGTGATGCTGTCCCCAGCCCCCCAGGGAAATTTTACAATCTCTGGAGTTGTTTTTGCTTGTCACGACTGCAGAATATTACTGGCATCAAGTGAGTAGAAGCCAGAGATCCTTCTGAACATCCTAACAAACATAGGCCAGGCCCTCACAAAAAAGAATTATCTGGCCTCAAACATTAATAGTGCCACAGTTGAAAAACCCTGCCCTAGACCATGCCCTGGGCAAGGGCTCAGACCCAAACCTTCTCTGCCCGAAGACGTCCATCCCCTTAGCCGTTTTAGCCTCACCTGGCAAAGTCCACCCACTTTTCAATAATCTTCTTTGGTGAGAGACGAGTGCAGATGATGCCAACAAAATCAGGCTGACAGGAAAAAGAAAGTCAGGATCACCTCCATCCACACCTTGGCCACCAAATGCTTGCCACCTCTGGACTACTGAAGCAGCTCCACGCCTCTCCCCAGGCCCTCAACCCAGGTCCCCGGCCCAAGGAAGCTCCAGGCCCAGTCCCCTCTGTCCCACTTGAGGTTCCCAGGTGGGCCTTAGGTCCCAGTGCCCCACCTTGTCCTCATGTAGCGCCAGATGATGTGTGGCCAACATGCGTATCCCAAGCCTTGAAGTCAGTGTCTTATCTAAGAAGTAGCGGACGAGCTTCTCATCCTGTAAAGAGTGGGGCCTCAGAAACCCTGTGCCCTTCCCAGCCTCTCCAACAGGCCTGGGCCCCCACCTGACCTCTATGTGTTTCCGGCTCTCACGCAGGCCCTCAGCTAAGAGGGTCACCACATCCTTGTGGTCGTCCAACAGCTGTCGCACCAGCTGGCAGTACTGGGCGTCGTCTGCCTGGTCCTTGATCTGCAGGCCAGAGTCATGAGCATGGATGGTCCAGCCCTGACCTCTCAGCCCCTCACCCTGCCCTGGCCCAGCCCTCACCGGAGGGAATTCTGTCAGCTTCTGGAAGGCACGGATGTACAGTTCGTGCTGCAAGGGAGAGATGTGGGAATTCACAGGGATGCTCTGGGCACTAGGTAGAGAACAGCCACCCATGCCCACCTATGGGGACGGCCATTCATTCCAATGCACTTGGTTCAAACCCCATCATGGCCTCTCAAGCCTCCATGAAGGCTTGGGTCTGAGTCCTCTAAGGCTCTGAAACCTTTTGGTAGGGAAGTCTCTACCATTCTGGTTCCCCATTTACCCCCTGGGTGGTGAGCACACTGATCTAAGGTCTTCTCTACTAGGGAAACCTATGTCCCCTTGAGGCCAGCTTACCACGTGCAGTATGGTGGGGTTGCAGCCAATGATGAAAGGAAGGCTGCGGAAACCCTTGATGCGGTGCGCGATCCTCACCGGCAACTCTTGCTGCAAGTACCGGGCACTTTTCTAGAAAAAAGAAAAAGAAGGGAAGTTAGGGACTGGACCTGAGTGGCTGGGTCAGAGGTCCAGGGGCCAAGAGAAAAATATGGGCAGGAAGCTTACCAGAAGGTGGCTGCCATCCTGAGAGCGGCCTGAATAGAGCATCATGGTTGGAGTGAGGCGGACTGAGGGCTGGAGGGGCAGAGGGGCCTTAAGCACTAGATCTCCAACATCCTGCCCCCACCACATTAGCTCCAACCCTCCCTGGACACTGCGCTCCAGCTAGGGACACAGGCCTCACTGCCCTAGCTGCGCACCTTCTCTGCTGCCACGTCGATGGCCGACTGGTTGTAAAAGGAGGTGACGGTCTTGGAGCGCTCCCGTGCCATTTCCACGTGGTGGGTATCGGTGGCTGATGTGGAGCGGGCCCGGAGCGAGAGTGCGGGACCCAAGAGAGGCCAGAGTGGTGGCCCGCCCCGTGGGCCGCTCCACAGCACCGATGCCAGTGTCATTCTTCTGCTCCTTTGTCGGACTGGGCGGCCACTCGGGCTGCAGACCCGATAGATGAAGGCGACCCCAAAACGAGGCAAGAGGGGTGCGGGGAGGCAGGGGCTCTTCTCTG